GAGTGGCACTTGGAGACATGCACGGAAGATGACTATGTTGAAACAGCATTAAGAACGTAACTTAAACCCACAAAAGTCAGGAGACAGAGTGAAGGCTGAAAAAATGTGGGCGGATATCCATCCTGTCCTTAACTCACTCCAATTCTAGACAAAATTGCAGCTTCGTACATCTGATCTTTAGCAGCACAGGGAGTGGCCACTGGGGCCAGCTCAAGAATTCTCTTTCCAATTGTAGCGGTGTGTTTTTGTGGTAGAACATGCTTTTCCCCCCCTGTTTCGTTTCTTTTCTCTTTCCCCCAGGACTTGCCTCTTTTTTTTCTCACTTTGATTCACTCTGTTTGTTCCTTGAGCCTTTCCAGATAAGATGTGGAGAGATTTGATTAAGGCTCCAACTGGAGTAATTTACCACCAAAGCACTGAATAACCTCCCAGGCTTTGCTGTGGCTGGACCCCCACACTCTTCCCTTACTCTACACCAAAGAACAGTTCAGCTCCCGGCACCTGTCTCTTCTTACACGACTATATTTGGGAGCTGGGGTACAGAAACAGATGTTGTATTAATGACTACAAACCTAAAGCTTCAGCTAAAAACCTCAACAACTGTTCGGCAACAGGTGCACAACGGTCTGAATGTCAAAATTGCAGCAAAACTTTCTCTGGAGGTTTCAGCAGCTTCTCCTGGAGTCTGTGTAACAGAGCCATGAGCAGGTTTGTACCCATGAAGAGCTTCGTTTGCTGCCTTTATTCATCTGCAGTGCAAACTCAAGGCCTCTTTCTCTCCTCCACTGCAGTAAGAGAAGCACTGTTGGGTTGACTCGAATGCTGCTGTAAAAGAGACACAAGGCAGAAAAAGAGCAGTTCCTCCTGGCATGGATTTCCCCAGTGAATGTCTCTTGGTTTCCTTCCGAGAAGGGTTATCAGAGGAGTGCTGATGTCAGTCCAGAGCCTCTCCAGATTTTGACCTTCCTTTATTTCTTTGTATAGGAAGGTTCTGAGCAGATGCAGTCAGGACAGATACATTTTTGGAAACACTTTATTCTTTCTGGGATGCCTTTGCCAGAGCTGCCAGTTTAGAGAGCAAATTTGGGCACTTCTCTAGTGTGAGAATGAGCTTTCTTTCAAAAATCCCAGAGGGCTTCACCACATTTTGCTTTAAGATTCCTGTAGGAAAAGTATGCTGTGCTCCATTGTTCTTGCATGAATCTGGGTTTTTATAAGTATAAATTATGGCATTCCAGAAGACAGGTGTGATTTAGAATGGCTCCAGTCCTTGACAGATGAGAGGGAATAGTTCTTGTGATTGCTCGGGCAGTGTGGGTGGATGATGCCACCACCTCCCCTGTGTCCTACAGTCACATCCCTGAATGTTGTGGTACAAAAGGATCTCCCCCTTTAACTCTCACTGTGGACACTGGGACTCTGTTCTGCATCACTGCGGCTTTGGCTCTTTATTTTTCTCTCTGGAAGATGTGGATGTCTTGGACATCTGGTAGCTTTTGGGATGGCTGTGCATGGGAGGGTGCAGATACTGCCTGTCTATTCCTGAATCCCTTCCAAGTTCAGAGACAGGGACGCCAAGTCTGGTTCTACCCTCCATCCCACCTGCAGCTGGACACGTGCCTCAGCCGTGGGGTCGCAGCCATCCGTGGAGCACGTTAATTATCTACTCATGAGATCAGAGAGCACCTTCCAGCCACGGGCCTTGATCCACAGAACCATTATAGAGGATTTCTAAGTATTTCCCCAGATGCCCCAAGATTTAAGGCAGCTTTAAACTGCTCCCCTGAGCCACTTGTCTAGCTCTGCATCCCCCACCAGAGTTTTGGAGTCCCCAGACTTGCTCAGGCTGCCCAGTTCTGTTATAAGTAACTGCTTTCCGAATGCTGCATGCAAAATTTAGGAATGCATCGATACATGACATCCTAATATGAACCATACCAGTAACATTGGAATTTAAATATTCATGGCTACTGAACGCAGATGGTGAGTACTGTGTGCCAATACATTATTACTTTGAGTCTCTGCTCAAGTGAGGCTTAGTCCAACTTTATCTGAATTCAAGGATTCCAGCCTAATCCTTTGGGGCTTTGTCTTGCAATTACAACAAATAACTATTTATTTTACACTGCCTCTGGGAAAAACCTGAAGCAGAAAACTATAATATCTGAAGTCTGGTCTAGTTTACAGAGCTGGATGCTGACTGCTAAAACACTTATGGAATGCCAATGTTTCGATTTATTGAATGCACTGTGTGACTTAAGCTTCAGTGTACAAAATTCATGAAAAGTTTTAGCCCATTTAACATGTTTTTCCAAGTTTGCAAATACACTTGTTTTACTCGATCTGTACAAAAAATGGACCCGAGCCAAATGGTGCTGTTTGAAACCGGCTGTTCAGTTGTACAAAGGTTAGATAGCAAAACAGAAACACTACGTGGCAGGTTGAACTAAACCCAACCAAAGGCAATGGGTTCGCTCTCGGTTCTTTTAACGTGGAAACCCAGCGTGAAAGGTTAAAAGATGGGTGTTTTCGGGAGATAATTAAAGAAACGCTCACCCCACGAGCAAATCAGTACCTGACTCTGACCTGCGGGTTATGACTTTCTTGTTGATTTAGGCAGGGACATGCTATGCACACACCTGGTGTTTATGGAAAGCGTGGTGCGGAGATAAGCCTTCTCAATTGTTCCAAAAACCTGTCTTACACCTCCAACAATAGCAGTGGCAACAGTTCCTGGAGTATCGGAAAGGACTGGTTGCAAAAAAGTAAAGGCAAAAAAGAATTCCTTTCACGGAGGAGTTAAATACTTGAAAACTATAAAAAGTCTTGCGAGCACGTCTTGCAACCTGTTGACAACATAGCTGAGATCACTGGCATGGGACTTGTTGATAGCTTACACAGACACCTGCACTAGATGCTGGAGTAGCGGGAATTTCTCTTAGCTGTGCTCAAACTGACTGTACTCCTTTGCCTGTGGCTTGGGATGCATTTTTTGAAGATTACATACAGTCTCATTAGAGATCCCTGATCTTGTGTGCCACTGATACAGGCGCTGCAGTCTTCCAGCTGTATCCCGGGCGACAAGGTAAATCCACAGTGCTCTGCCTATTGTTCCATCTTCTCCTTTCTTTCCGAGGTCCCCTAAGTGTTTCTCCCCCTTCAGCTTCCCCCTTTCCTTTCCAACAACCTTCCCAAACCCAGGTCCTGACACCCATCCAGCCATCTGATCCCTGCCTGCTTTGGGGAGACGCTCTTCTAATGGAATTCATGCAAGTTAAAGAAAGCAGCTCACGCATATCTGCGGAGGCCAAAAAGAAGGAGGAGGGGAAAAAAAGAAACAACCAAAAAAGTGAGGAATTGCTTTTTCCAACATAGGAATTTCCATGAAATTCCAACGAGGCATTTGTTCTTTTGCCTCCCTCACTGCTAACTTCAGAGGTGCAGCCAGACCTGGTCACCATCCTTTTCTAAAAAAAATTTTTTTTTTTTTTACTTTTTCTTTTTTTCTCCTCTTCTAAGGCACGTTTTAGTGCACCTGCAGAAAGGCTGAGCGCCGGGAGAATAGGAAATTGGAAATAAAAACTCCCGCATTGCTGGAGAGTGAGAACATTTGTTTAGGAGGCCAATTATATCCGTCCCGGGATGATTTATATTAGCGGGGTAATTAGCTGTGCGCGCGGGGCACCTGCTCCCGGCCCGGCCGGGAACCCCCCGGCCCCTTACCGAAGCGGCTGTGGTCCTGCCGGGTGCCCTGCACCGTGCCGTTGGGGAAGATCTCCAGGTGGAAGCCGGTGCGGCAGTAGAGCTGCCGCCGCCGCAGGATACCCTTGAGGTGAGCGAAGTCGGTGGGGGAACCCCGCTGCAGCCGCCCCTCGATCTGCCCCAGGCGCTCGTTGAGGAACCCGGGGGAGTCGGCGAGGGGCAGCCCGGCGCCCAGCGCGGGGGGGAAGCCGTGCAGGTCGGGGTCCAGCGCGCCCAGAAAGCCGCCCACCTCGGCCATGGGCGCGGAGCGCAGCGGCCCCGGGGGCGCGGGCACAGCGGCCGCTCAGAGCGCGCTCTGCGGCCGCCCGGCCCCGGCGCGGCCCCGGCCCGGCCCCGCGCCGCCCGCGCCTCCCATCGCTCGATCCAGTGTCCCGCCGTCGGATGCGAACTGCACTTTATATACGTACACACTCCCCTTACATTGACATATTGGATATTTAAATGCAAGCCACACCTCACTGGCATCCCCTTTGGCTATTGCTTTTTTTTTTTTTCTCCCCTTCTTCTCTGATCCATTTGGCTATTTTTTTTTCTCTTAAAAAAAAAAAAAAGGTGGGGGGCGGCTTCACTCCCTCTTTTATTATGAAAAAAAATGGCAGGAAAAAGCTACACATCGCAGTGAAGCATAACAGCTCTTGGCAGGTCCCCGCCAGCCGACGATGAAATCATGGAGCCCCCGCACAAACCCGCTCCCGCAGCGGCTGCCCCGCACCGCCCGCAGCCCCGGACCCGCAGCCGCGCCCCCGGACCCCCCTCGGGCCGTCGGTGCCGCCGCCTCGGCCGCGCCCCCACCCAACAACTCCCCCCGAACGGACACGGTGGAAAAAACAACACGTGAGGAGAGGGTCGAGACGCGTTTTTTCAGCCGAACGCGTAAAAACGGAACGCGATGTCTCTGCGAGGCGCTCCCGCGGGCTGCACGGCCGGGCTACAGCCGGCGGCAGGGGAGGGAGCCCGCGGCGGGGCCGGGCAGCGCCGCTCGCCCGCCTCCCCTCCCTCCCTCCCCACCTTCCCCGTGTTGGAAACAGGTGTTTCCGCGCTCTCCCGGCCCGCCGACACCGTACGTGTGGCGGCAGCCGGCGGAGCCGGGCGGGGCGGGGCGGGGGCACCGGGGCGGCCCGGGCACGGCCGGGCCGGGCGGGCCCGCGGGCAGGGAAGGCCCGGGCCCGGCCGCCCCCGCCCTGCCCGGCAGGCGGCGCTGCCCTCGCGCCGCCCGGGGCGCGGGGCGGCCCCGCCGGGGCAGCTGAGGCGGCCCCGGGGTCCGGGCCGGGCTGGCGGGTCCCCGGGCCGGGGTGTCGCCCGCGCCCTCCTCCGAGCCCCGCCAGGGGACAGAGACCCCACAAACAAGCAACAAGCACCCGAAACTGCCCCCGAGCCACCAGCCCGCTCTGCCGCGGCGGCTCCTCCGGGGGGCGTCAGCGTGCAGAGGTCATGTCTCCCTCAGCGGGTTTCCCCCAAGGCGTCCCCGATGTGGGGCTCATCTCAATGGCATCTTTCCCAGGTGGATATCTGTGCAGAGGGTCTCTCCCCTCAGCGGGTCCCCCCCTATGGCAAGCATCCCGCCAGCAGGTCTCCCACTTCAGCAGGTCTCCCCTCAGTGTGACTTTCCTCTTAGTGGGTCTCCTCTCTCAGCAGGTCTCTTCCCTCGGGTCTCTCCTCAGCAACTCTATCCCATGGTGGGTATTCCCTCAGCAGGTCTGTCCCCTCAGAAGTTCTCTCCCTTCCAGTGAACAGCACCTCAGTAGGTTCCCGCCATGGTGGGCACCCCTTCAGCGGGTCTCTCCCCTCAGCAGGTCTCATCCCACAGCAAGGTGCTGCTCCCCTCATCACCCCAGCGGGAGGGTTAAAATGACCCTGCAGGCCTGGGCAGTGCTCTCTTGTGAAGACACGAAGGAAATTGTCTGAAACACCCGCTCATGTGCCTGCAGTGGGTGAGGGATCTGGGTTTTAAATGGGGCTTTGGGGTGGTTTTTCCTGTCACAGCTGTGAAAGGGGTGTGTTTGATGCAGAACTCAACACATGAAGCCTAAACCCGTGTTTTTTTTTATAGAAATACAGGCTGTTCCAGAGGTAGTAAAATCTACAGAAGTGTGTTTGTTGACTATTTGTTTATCATGTGTGGTTACATGGAGATACCACTGTCTGAGGAGTTCAAGCATCCCACTGCAAAGATTATGATTTTATTGCTGTAGTATCTATATGAAAACTTAGGTGTGATAACTGTGGGAAATAAATTGTGCCTTCATGAAACTGGCAGTGATACAGGATGGGGCAGACACAGCTGATGGGATACCCCAAATCCAGAATTACTGTTAAGGACATAATCCTGTAAATCCTGTGAATTTAATGCGTAAAATTCATGTAGTGTGAATACAATCAAATATGCCTTTCTGTAAAGTGTGGTTTTGTTGATGTATGCAAGAGGTTTGCCTCTAGATTCATAGCAAATTCATGTTTCTGATTCCCTGTTTCTGAACACGTCTGAGGGCTGATCCCAGGGGTACTAGGAAGAGAGAGGAAAAATCAGTTTCCACATTGAAGGACTAACCAAACCGTGCAGAGGCTTCTACCAGTGGCTTCAATAGCCTCTGGATCTGTTATAATATCCTTAAACCCAAATCCATACAAGCACTTAGTGGAACACTTAGGATACTGAAAAAGGTAAGAGTTCAATTACACTACAGTGAAATCCAAGATAAAGTCAAAACCCACAAACCTGCGTGCTTAACTAATGTATAACAAAAGCAGCACAATCCCCCCGTCCAAGCTGACATTCCTCACTTAACTCTCCCAATTATGGGCAGCTTTTGAAGTGTCCGCGATACATTTTATTGAGAAATCGTACAGGCTGGTACAACATGTTCTATTTAGGCACAACAGGATGTGGAAAGGTAGCTTTTTTTTTTTTCTTCTTTAATTTCCTGGTTTATTTCTGGTTTTGCTAAGCTGAGGAAAACACAGATTTCTGCTTTTACATATTTCTTACACATATTTCTATTTTAAATACTGAAAGCTAGAGTGACTCCTTCAAAAGCAGAAACGGGTCTAGCAATTTTTTTCATGTATTATATAAAACACAGTTCTGCACTCAGTAATTTCTTAAAACAGCACAGAAACTTGTGTACAATTTGTGACACAGAACACAGTGTTACAAAATTAACTTTCTGCTCTGCTTTGTTTCAGTTCTCCCGGGTTTATTCTTTGATTACAGCTTCCATTGTTCACTTTGGGAACTGAAATGGTTGCTATCAAACTGCTCTGCCTTTCAGTTTTCCGAAGAATTAGCAATGATTTTTATACACAGTTTGCAGATCCCTTCCTTCACACTATTTAGTGAGGTAGTAAAAATATTAAGGGCGTTTATTTGCAGAATAATTGCTATCCGTGGAGAGCAGCCACATTTTATATCTGACTGTAAAATCAAAGGAAGAACAGGACTGGGATCAAATCAGTAAATTAATTAGAAAAGAGTAAGATAAATAAATGCAATGAGCAAATCTAGATACTGCATATCCTCTGCCTGGAGCTATTCTGTTTGGTAAAGAAAAGATCAAGACAGCTGAAATAATCTGAAGTAGCAACGGCCATGAATGAAAAATCAGATGTAAGGGATACCTGAGGATAAAGAAATAACAGAGCCTTGAGCTTTAATAAACAATACTTCTGCTTCCTTAGCACTTTCCACCTCAGGATCTCAAAACAATCTATGTACACTAGGGAATTAAGACTCACAACCAAGGTCACTGTGCAGCTCCTTTTCCCCGGACAGTCTCCTTTTCCACTAAGAGATGTTGTTCAAAGGATATTGATGGCTTTCTGTATTTGTTTGGGATTTTGGATGCATAGCAGCCCTGCTGGAGCAGCAGCTTTGACCAGGTTTCTGTAATCCAGAAACCAGACACGTGCACCATGAGCCCTTCTGCCTTTTGTGGTGTGGTGACCATCTGTGCTGCACATGCAAGGAATGTCTGAGCTCTCCTGGCAGATAAATAGGGCAACCTCCTTTGTGAGGGGATGAATAAAAAAATTTTCTTAAGGGGAGCAGAGAGTGGTTTATTGGTTTTTGCCTTTGATTGGTTTTACTTAAGCTAGTATTATTATTGTTTGTAGTACCACTTCCAGGCCCTAGACGCTGTTTGTGCTGGAGACTGCGTTAACAAGTGTGTAACAAACCAGAGTCCTTGACCTGAGGAATCTCACTGCTCTGCCTTGTGGAAGGATTTCTGATGGAAGGCAACAGAATTTCAGTCCATGTATAGAAGTATGTTTTTGTGGACAGTTTAGAATTGGTGGCAGAATGAAGGTAAGGGTCTAAGGATAAAGCTCCAGACTTACCTACCTGGGTCTTGGGTTCAGGTGCCTAAATAAATGATGTGATTTTCAAACAAGGAAGTACCCACCTTTTCCAGTTATCGCTAGTTTGGTGTCAAACACGGATCTGCTGTTTTTAGTAATCCATGTATGGATTAACAAGTAGGAAGAGAACCATTCTGGTTCAGCTCTGACTCATGAGAACTCCCATTTTGGGAGAGTTGCTGTAACTGAGAGCTGGTCTTACAGGATCAAGTCACTGACAAGCACAGTGAATGAACAGAGGAGCCTCGTTGACCCTCACGTATGTTGTTTTGCCTTGGTTCTGTCCCATTTGAAAATTGCAGGTACTTATTCTTCCTGGGAAATTGCACCTCTCCTTGGCATGGCTAAACACAGGATGGAATCCTGACGCAAATTATTCCCGCCAATACATCTCCGAGTGCTGGGTGCTGAATGAGGAATGGGAAAGGCTTCTTTATTGGGTAAAGTGGTGAGTAATGCAGTCATCTCATCCCCACTTGTAACCTTTTTCCTTGGGATTTGGGCTAGAATTACAGGGCTACTGAGTCATTTGGGCCTTTGGCATTTGGCCCAGTGTACCAGAGAACATGTACCTGTGTAATTCTACCCCTCAGTTCTGCACACCAGTGTGGCTTGCCGTGAGGCTACCGATTGAGACAGTTTTTCTCTCTGCAGTGTTTGTATCTGGTGTGTGCCTTTGTCTTGTAGTTTATGATGTAACTTTATGCCAAGACAGGAGCATTTCCTTCTCAGATGTTGAACCAAGGGGCAAAATAGAAGTTAGAATAAGGGTATTATGGTAAAATGCCTTCACTGTAATCTTCTTTTTTAATGGTTGGGGTTTTTCTGGCACTGGTTTGAGGAACAGTTAAGAAAAGGGTAGTGTATAATCTGTTATAGTAGGCTTGTCATCCGATTCGTAGGCTCAGAGCTGCTGTGGGGTGCTGAGTTCTGGGTGAGTCACTTCCCTCTCTGTTTCCCGTAATGGAGAAAGAGAAGATGAGGTGTTTGTGTAAGTTGTAAAGCATGCTCAGGATGCTGGAGTTTGTAAGGAACAAGATCTGTTTGTCTCTATTGTTGAAGGCTTACCATGACTTCAAATTCTACCCTAGACCTAGAGCAGGGCTGGAAGTTTTAGTCTGTGTTTTGAAGCCCCTCTGTGGCGTGGTCACATTCAACAAACTTGATAGGCAGTGACTCCAGTAGCTCTCCAGTTTCTCATGCTAAACTCTCAGTCACCTGAGTGTAAGTCGTTGCTGACTAACAGCTGAAATTTGGAGCTAGTTCTTTCCACTGGATTTGTCTCTTGCTATAATTAGGGAATAAAAAGAAGGATAACATCATAACTTTCTTTGGAAAACACAAATTCAGAATATACCAAATTAAATACAAGAACCAGTTCTAGTCCTTCCCAAATAAAACATGCTGGCATTTACGATATTACTCTTCTAAGTGCACACATTTATACTGTAGCAGCTTTTTATGAAATTATCCATGACCATAGACTGTATCTGTTTACATCTGCATCAGTGACTACTGATCAAACACAAAAAGCAAAGGTCTGTCTAGCCCCATATCCTGCCTCTTGATAATGGCTAATAACCTGTGTATGGAAAACAGGACAAGTATGGAGTGATACTTCCTTTTGTAAACCCTCCCAGCTTCCAGTGGTTTTTGTTAAAGAGACCTTCCTGAGCTGGAGGCTGCAGCTGTATCATTGTTTTTGATATTTCTTGATGGACCTTTTTCCATAAAATTGTCTAATGGTTTTTGTAAAACCCACTTGTCCTTTTGGCTGCCATAACATCCCGTGGCAATGAGTTCCACAACATCATTAGGCATTGTGTGAAAATTAACTTCCTTTTGTTTGCTTTTGAACTTGCTTGCTGCCTGCCAGTTTGAGTTGGTGCCCTGTTATTTCTCTTAAGACTACTTTTAAATAATCATTGCTGTTTACGTTTTCCATGCTGTAACAGCATGTCTAGAACTTAATTGTTGTTATCCTTGTTTTCCAGGTTGAACGGCTCTGGTTTGTTTAAGTTTTCCTTGTGCTAAGGCTTTCTAACACCTCTTTGGTACACCATAGCCCTTTCTGTGGCTTTGTATTTCCACAATTGCTGGAACTGTGCTCAGTATTGGAGAAATAGGCATACTATGGATTTATTCAGAGAAATAATGCCATTTTCTGCTTTGTCCTCATTCTTCTGGAAATTCCCGACAGGGCAGTTTTCCCCAACTGCTGACACCATGCTGTTTGTTTTGGAGAGTGATCCACTTCTCCAGGATTTCTTTCATGACTGATTTGAAGCATGGTAAGAATGGCTTTTTCCTCATCCATTCTTTTTATGCGTGAACCTTGAGTTAAATTTACTGTTTTAACATCCACTCACTGAATAAATTTCAGGTTTCATTTTTGGGAATGGCTTTGTGTCATCAGCCACCTACCTACAGCATTTCATAGAGTCATAAAATCAGAGAATCAACTAGGTTGGAAAAGACCTCCGAGATCATCAAGTCCAACCCTTGATCCAACACTGCCATGGTTACTAGACCATGACACTAAGTGCCACAGCCAGTCTCATCTTAAAAACCTCCAGTGACGGTGAACCCACCCCCTCCCTGATCATTTATGGAATGGGACACAGTAGCAGTCCATCACAGACCCTATTCTGGGTCTGTGGGGAGCTTCCAGCATCACTGGTGCTGAACATCCATTTCTCTTGGTTGTGATCACCAGTTATGTCACTTATTCTCTCTTTCATTCTTGCAGTAAGGCTCATTTATGAGCTGGATTTCATACCATAGTTAATAGTCTGGCAATTTGCCATGTGATACCTGTAGGATTATCAATTAATCCTCATGTCATGTTTTCATCTGTGCTGCTGCCCTAAATTCATTCTCCTTGCAAAAGGGCTGTAGGTCTGTATTGAACACGAGTACAAAGATCCACCAAGCTTTCTTGCTATCGCCTCATCACCTGGGACTGTTTTTTAAATGCCTCAGTCCTTGGTGCTGCGAACTGTTCAGGCTGAGGCCCAGATTTACACATTGCAACGCTGTCTGTAATCTTCTGTGGTCAAGTTGCTCTGGGACTTTTGGCCCAGTATCTCTGTATCTCTCTTTAGGGATGACACTGATTCTCTTACTGGAGAAATAAACTGAAATACGTTGGTGTGTGATGTGGAGTTAGGAAATCTAAGCTCAGAGTTATTCTAGAGGTGGATGATGATTCGATGGGACAGCCTAAAATAAAGAGCAGAGGGAGAGAAAAGGGAAAAATAAAGTAAACAAGCCCCTCCCCTTTTCCTACTTATGACCCCCTCTTTTCCTACTTATGCTAACAGGCTCCAGTTTTGGCATTTTGGATGACTGAAGCTTTTCAGTTTAACTGTTATGTGAGTAACATTACTCAACTTCATTTATATAGTACTGGATTAATTTGTATAAAGAAAATTATAAAGAAACACAGAAAAACATTTAAAAATGTAAATAAACTGACTTTCTAATTATTCTGTAATTATTCTTTTCTGTATAGAAATCCTCTATACCTTACTAGGTTTGTTCTTTTCTCTAATGAACCAGTTAATTAAAATGCAGCATTTGTCCCTTTTTTCAAAAAAGCAGCCACGTACTTTGCAAACTTGATTAGAGAAATGATAACTGTAGGATAATTCCATGATCAAGCAACCAATTGCCCTACAAATCATTCTGCTTCATCACTCTATGTGGAGAGAGGAAGGAATGGGCTATGAACAGCATTCTAAAGGTTTATTTTTGGTGAGTTCTGCAAGTGGCCAAAGGATAGGGAGCAAGTCAAGAGCAGTCAAGAGAGCACTGTCTTGCTTGCATCTGATTGCCACCCACTGAAATGTGCATTACCCTCTTTCAGGAGGAAGTGTGGTTTTTTTTCAGGAGACCTACTTGAGTTTCATAACATGAGTTTCATTAAAATCTGTCCTGAGAAATCGTGAGTTAACAGAATGCAGTTCCTATAGCATTAACCTTTCCCAAATGCAGTATGTAGTAATCACAGTTCTGGTAGATTGAGTTTCGTGTGAGATCTCAGAATGTTTATTTTACAGCATCCTTTGCTGTGTTTGTGCAGCGTTGCTGTTGCCTTTCTCCAGATGGGAACACGCAGGAATGCAGGAGCCAGGTGGTTTGCTCAAGGACATGAGAGTCTGTCTTCAGTGCAGTTAACTGGTGCCTTACTGGCACTTGTGGTAGCTGTGCTTTGGTCTGAGCGGTCACCTGGATTGTGTTTACTTCCCTCCCTGGGCTGCTAGCATTCCTTAATTCCATGTCTTGCAAGAAAGTTCCCCTGAGGATGTGTAGGGCCCTGAGCAATGAGCACAGCGTGAGCGGCTGCAGAGTCTCTTTTGTCCAGAGATCCTGTTAGTGGAAGACAACTGCACCCTGTGGTTCTTGGGCTCAGGAACGATGAGCCTCACTCACGCTTTCTTTCTCGGTTAATTCTGATAGGATTTATCTGTCCTAAGAGTAGGAGGTGGGGAAAGCTCAGAGGGAAAGCACAGAGGCTTGGTCTGTGTTCTACCTGAGTAGTGGTTCCAGCTTCAAAAATCAGAACACTGCTTTTGGTGTTGAGAGCTGGTAGTTCTGGTGCTGGGTGGTGGAGCTCTGTCTGAAGCATCACCAGCCTCCCAGTTTTGCATGTGGATGGGAAGCAGAACCCAGGCTGGCACTGAGAGCCATTGTTGACTGTAGTGAGGACAGAAACCCAGAGCTGAGCGTAGCTGAGACCTCAGAAGTCTGGATTCTCAAACATTTGCTTAAGAGCATGGGATATTTATGGCCTTGATAAAATTAGGGAAGAAAGACGAGGAGCATCTTCTCATGTACTTGTCTAAATGTGTTGGGAAATCCTATTGCTGAGGTTTCCTAAAAGATGAAAAACTTCTCAGATATCTCCCTCAGCATTAAGAGTGTCCAAACACGAAAATTAAAATATCCTCAGAAACTGGGAAGTCTCAGTGTGATCTCTGAAGATCTTGCTGATGTTGGGGTTATGGTTTAGCGTAGTCGGAGTCTGGTTCTTTCATTAGAAAAAACAGAATCAAATGCAAAAATGAAAATAAAATTAACACTTCTTCAGTTTCCTTTGTAAACAAATCAGAAACCTTAAGGCCAGGAGAAGAACACCATGGCTACCAACTGGGATAACTCAGTTTCGGCCTGAGAGAAAGAAATGATAGATCTCTCAAGTATATGCTACCTCACAGGCAGATTGTAATGAAATCCAGCCAGATTGAAGGGAAAAACAAAACCTATTGATTTTATTCCAAGGGAAGAGAGAGAAAAAGAACAGATGTGTGGAGTCTTCTGTCCATTCACTGCAATGTGCAGTGCTGACTTAAAAAAGATAACGGCTTAAGCTTTGTTTCTTCTTGTGCTTCCCTCTGTAGAAATGCCCTGCCTTAGTCACCCAAAAGATTCAGTTTGGGGTAGCAGAGAGGAGGGGGAGCAAGGACCTCACACAAGAACTGACCTAAACTCTGAGGAGGTTTGTATAATCTAATTTACAATAAAATGGTATTTACAATGTTATCAGACAAAGCTTAGCAGTGTTAAGTTAAACAGCATATAATGTGATTAGTGGGGCAGTCATGCCCATGATGTCATACACATTCTCTGAACTCTTGGAATGGGCAGATAATGTCTAAGGCATTTGTTCTCTTATGACACAGGAAAGGCTCCATGGAGCTCTGGGGGCTGGGAAGGCTCTGTGCATGTTCCCATGTCCCACAGCACTGCAGAGGCTGCTCCCCTTGGTGCAGCACTCGGGCTGTGGTTGCTCCCTGCCGGCTCTGTGCTGTGGAGTGGTTAAAACAGGCCTTTGGGAATAGTTTAGAAGCTTGAAATTCTATTCTTGACTCTGCCACAGACTTGGGTTTTGACCACTAAATCTTCTTTGCCTCTAGTAACTCCATTTTTAACTAGCAAAGGTAGTCAGCTGTGTCTGTGGAGTGCCCTGAGTGGGAGCTGTATGGAGATGGAAACCACTGGCATTCTGTTCATTATGCAGAACAAATACAGCTAGACCACAAAGAGCTTTGCTGTAGCAATTTCACAGCTAGTAATGGCCTATTCAGAGAAAATTAAATCTTTATCTTTCTGCCTCTGCAAGGCATGCAAAATGGTATTAAAAATTTTGGCTAATCTAATTAATATGGAAAAGCAATATAAATCTCAGCTATAGATTCACATCAAAGATAATCTGGACTGGGTTTATTTTAAAGCGTGTTTTGCTTTAAAAAAAACTCTTGCTGAAAGCTACTGAATGAGGCAAAGCTCCCTTTAAATTTTCAAGTTATTGTAGTGGTTGTGAAAGGACAAATTCTGGAACATTTTAAGAGTATTTGACTCCCCCATGTCCATCAGGGACAATAAGCCCACATTGCTTCATGCATGTTAATGTTTAATAGAAACATGAAGATTGCATAAACATTCTTTCTGCCATGGTGTGAAGGCTGTATAAATTGTTTAACTGTGGGGTAGAGATTGACTAGATAGTATTCCTGTTTTCAGTGATGCATGGAATGAATGTGGGCTAGCCTCGAGTTCAAATGGGAGTTGCAGATGTGGAGAATGGGGGCTGCATACAGAGCCGAAAGAGCTGAAGGAAAGTGATGGGCAGGAAGGAACAAGTGAGCTTGGAAAGTATGGCTCATGCAATGTCAACTCTATTATATGTTAACTGCAGCACTTGCACGATGCCCATCTTTTCTCCTGAGCAGTCCCTGCCTTGGCTGCAGCTCTGCCGTGTGTTCATGGCATGGGTGGGATGTGTTGGAAAGTGCACACAACAGTTCTGTTTGGCGGCAGAGGGGTGCCAGCGAGAGTAAATCTTTGCTGTTCAGAAAGCATAAGCCAAGCTTCTGTCTCTGTGGCTGATAAATCAGGAGCAGGGGCCAAGTGTAATATGAACAGAGCATTGGCCAGTCTGGTCAGACATGTGGGATGTACTAACAACAAGAGGGAATGAAAGCAAAGCCTGCAGGTAGACACCTTTTAAATAATCAAGGCTGACAGTTTTACTACAATGGCACAGTTTAACACTTTGTAGGTATGTGCTACAGTATAGGTGCTGCTTATATTTAGTAGTCTGCAAGCATTACACAGCTTATTTAGAGGAGAAGTTTTATTTCAGGCATTTTTATGTTTGTTAATATAATTACAAATGTAATATCTTATTGTTGCGGATGGTATTGCCAAGGGACAACTCTGAATGATGTACCAAAGACATTTAAATGACCTAGATTAAACTCACAGAGGACTGTGCATTCTAGATATGTTCTCAAACAGAGAACCTTTCCAGGAATGAGTATTTCTGTCACTCCTTATTAAAGACATGTACAAATACTTATGTGATACCTGGGCAGTCAGAGAAGTTGTGTGGAGGCAGAATGCACACAGTGGCTTGAGTCCTGAGGACTGGGCTGGGTTATGGACACCCTGCACACTGTGATAGGATGTTCTGTCCCAAGCCTCAGTTCACCTCTCTGGAAAAAGCATGTGATGCTGTGTGCAGCAACTGGCCTAGGAAAAGTATTTTGAATTTCTAGTGACAAAGACCAATTAGGGACATACACAGTCCTTAAAGCAAAAAACTTCACAAACTGTAGAGCCTGAAATCTCAGTGAGCAAAATGCCTTCCTCCCAGCTCTCACAGGAAGCAAGTTAATTGGGAGGCCAATAACTATAATGAGGCAGAACCTGGGGTTTTGCGTGTGTATGGTGAGATCCTCCCCTTGGGGCCAAACTCCTGTTCCATATTATGAAAGCAGTAAAAGGTCCCCTCAGCAGGTGCTGCATAAAGGCATTTCAGCTTTGCCTTTGCAGTGTTGGAATTGCCAAGCTATTGCTTTCCTGAGTCTCCAAATGAATTCCCCTACTCAATGTGGAACAGCTGTGTGAGAGATACAGCCTTGAGAAAAGGGGTGGCAAAGGAACGCAGCAAATGGGGATTTAATCAAATAGCACAGGGCTGCCAAACGACATCAGCGTGTTCCTGCTCAGCTTTCTTTGGGAAAGGGAGACCCTCTCAGTATCAAAGTCCAGAGAAGAGAGGTAACGTGTGCCACTGAGGCCTTTCTGTGTGACGGGAGTGAGAGAATAGCACTGGCTGTGTCCATTCAGGTCTCAGTAACAGCAGGGTTACCTGCAGTGATGCCCAAGAACTTTACATCCTAGAGAGAGATGGTTCTTTTTTTACCCACCTGAGTGTGGCTGCTGCCTCTGCAGAGCTAACACAGGATGGCTGCCCCAAACACCCAGGCTTTGGCCATTTGAGCCAGGAAGTGGATCAGGAACTGTGATGAGATGGGATAAGTCTGAGAGGATGGAAGCAGTTCTTCGAGTAGACTTTAATTAGGTCATTCCTTCATATATGATTGTAGAAGTAGTTGCTTTCTTCCTCATCAAAGCCTTCCAAAACATGGTTTGCAACAAAAAAAAGCTGTGTCAGGTGAGAAAAGATTATATTAAGGACCACAAATTGAGAGAGTTACTGTTTTTCACTTGCACTGCTTTTATTTAATACTTTTTGAAAGGAAAGTTTGTTGTGTGTCCGGTCTACCTATGTGAATTTTCAGAGTGCTTCCTAAGAGGTTTTTGGCAATCTATCAACCTTATCAGATACTGACTATGCCTGTTTGATGTGAGTGATTGCTTAGTTGTAAGTGTTATGTCTGAAATATAAAACAGACAGGGGAAAAAGGAAAATGAAGAAGAGTTTGTAACAAGCAGAATATAGCTGGCTAATTACTGTGGCAGGATAATGTCTTAGAAAAATCCATACCATTATCAAACTGCCATTTTTTCTTGTTTCCATGACATAAAATTTCTTTGAAATCTTTTGGTTTAGAGTGTGTGTGCACTTTAAATAGTGATCAGAGCTAAACAGCAGCATCTGTCAGAGAAGATAAATGACCTACCAGCAAATCCTCTCAGTTAAAAGCAAGACAAAATCTATGGAGTAGGGGAATGAGTTTTAAATTAGTAATTTCACTTAACTTTGCCCTAATGAAGGGCTAATCTTTGGACCCCTGCAAAACAAATGTGAGCATCTAGTTAGATCCAGCGGAAACCGGTCATTGAAAAGGCTTTTTCCTTATGAAGCCTAATTGGAAGCAAAGTAATTCCTTTGATAGCTGTCTTCATTTACCAGTATCTTTCCCTCTCCCTGATTTATGTACAGTAAACTAACGACTCTGTTAATTACAAACACATTTGTGTGTTTGCAGATTGACAAGTCACTCTGCTCGGGTGAGCCTGGGGCGAGCAGTCCCAGCTGAGGTGCAGAGATGTGCAGTGCCAGCTCTGGGGGGCTCCTGAGCACACACAGCTCCCGTGGAAGGCACCGAGAGAACGGCTCCGAAAAGAGCCTTTCCCGGATGTTGAGGCAGCGACGAGCTCAGGGTGAAGTGCAGTGTGGGCCACTGTGGAAATGAGCTAAATTTCCACAAGTTAAAATCTCACCTGGGATTTCGAGGGTATTTTATTCATTAAGCTAGCTTACTCTTCTATTTTTATACATAATGGCAAAATAAATTTTTTTTCCTCAAATTTGAAGAAATGATAGAAAAAACATTGGACACTTGATTGCTGTAGAAGCAGGATTGTGCCTTTAAGGCAGAGGGAAGGAATGTGTCAGTCACGGCCCCTCTAAAACAGGGACTTATCTTGATTATAGTGTTAGCTTGGTAGTAGAATATGATCTCATCACTGTGAAAGATTACATGAAGTATCAGCTTGGCTGGCCTTGAAACAGCTCTATTCTCAGTTGCATTTTCAATTGCTGCAGCTGACATGGGGTTCTGTAATTTGAAGAGACAGCCACAAAGATGGCTTGCAGAATTTGGCCTATGTATTCAAGTAAAAAAATTCAGGAGTGGATTAAAGCACGGCTGCCTCTGACGTTTTCTCTTTGTTTATTTTTTGTTGTTGGTTTGGTTTGGTTTTGAGAATGTCAAGACCTAGCAAAACTTGAACACCCTTAACTTTACAGTACTTAGAATATACATCAAACCTGAGAAGATAAGACACCTGTCTGGTGGAAAGTCATTAAAGTCCATGTAGACTAAAATGTGAATTATTTTCCACCTTCAAGGAATGATATGCTCAATGACACTAAGTGCATAAGACAGTTTTGAGCAGTAGGTGTTCTGGATGCTGTAGTCAGGGAGTGGTTTTTGTGGAGCACACGATATGCTGTGCTCGTGCCTTCAGCTGTATGTTTGCTCTGAAGCCTTGAAACCAGATGACATCTTCCTAAGTGAATGAGAATTAGGTGTAATTTATTCTTGGGTAGATGGTGTTTTTAAAAGAAATAACTTTCTACCTTGAAATTAAGCTGTAGACTAATTATTTGCTCAAGATGATGAGGGATCTCTGGTGCTGAAACTGTCAGTCTGGCAGAGAAGAATCTACCTGGAAAGTAAATGACAGCTGAGTACTCAGCTGACAAGTCTGATATTCTGAGGCAAAGTCAGAAGGTCTATT